AATATTTTAAAAATAATTTTCTTGTTCTTGAATACATTTTTTCCTTGTTTCCCTAGTGAAAAAAACCAAAGGCTTCTTTTCCTTCATGGAAAGTTCTGATTACCTTTTACCTTACCCCAATTTTCAAGTGATCAATAATTTTAAAAATATCCACTAGAAACTCCATTTTCCCTTATGGAACACTTCAACCAAAAAAACTAATTTAAAACAAATGCTCTCTCTCTCTAGTATATAACACTATTTCTTCCTTCCTTCAAATTATAAAAACAAACTAATAAACTAAAAACTCCTGGCCTTTCTCACCTTCTGAGATGGCCCACACTCTATCTGTGGAGTGTGTTTCTCTCTAAATAAATCCACTTCTTACCTAAAAAAAATAAAAATAAAAATTCCTTTACACGTCATCACCTCTGTTTCCATTCAATGTCAAAAGTAACATTTGTTAGTCTCATCAGGAAAGTCTCAAGAATCAGGAAGTTGTCAAGTTCGAAGTGGTGGAAATTAGTTTTCCAAAATTTTAATTTTCATTTGAAAGCTGAAATTTTATCATTGGCAACAAAGTATTGGTTCTCTTAAAGTGACAGGCTCACTACATTTCCATGAAGTTGACTGACAAAAACCCATCACTGAACAACCCACAGTTTGCCAGACACTCTTTTGAGCAAAAATGGTTTTCCAGGGAAAAGTTTAGCTCACAACTCAAACAATCACACAGTGCTTTTCTTTGAGATTCCCATTGTGCTTTGGTGTGCAGCAGACATGCTTTATATATACGCCCCATTTTGTCACATAGAATATTAAAAAGACATGTACTCAAAGGTCAACGTTTTATAAAATTAGTCATTTTTATTACTTCATCAAGGACATCATTAAGTAAACCGGCTGTATTTTTCTGTGAGTGTGACTCATCAGATGAGTCTGCAGTCACGTTTACTCTGTATACATAAGAAGCAATCTATGTGAGGCTCATTCCAAAGGCTCCTGGGATACTGCCCTTGCCTTAAAACCATTAACGGCACCAGCTACCTACACTGATAGTCTCTAAAATCTTTAATTACCTACTCAATCAGTTTTTTTTTTAATTAAGGAGTTTGTGATAGTAAAATTCCAAGTATTCCTAATGGCCTATTGGGGCTGGTTGTATAACCTCCTCTGGTGAGCAAAGCTGGATGATGAAGTAAGTCATGGTTTGCAATGGGAAATAAAATAGGGAACAAATTTTTGACTTAATGTCCACAATTCTCCTGGAGACACTGATCAACGTTCAGTCCTGATTCACTTCAGAAGCTTCAAGAGACAAAGAGCTGAACGGCTCATGTCACTGGCTCCAGGGGGATACCACAGAGCAAGGGTAGTTATCAGGGAAGAAGCCCAGGAAGGTGAAAGGAGCTCTCTGTTGATCATGATAGGTCATACCCTCCTGGGGATACAGTCCGCCTCTGACTGACCCCAGGCTTGGCTGTTAAGCCCAATGAGTTGAGAGGACAAAAATCATGGAGGGTCACTCCTGCCCCTGCTCACACCTTGCATCCTGCCCAAGTCCTTAATAATCCCCCTTCCACCAGCACCAACGGGGTCACTAATTTAATGGGTTGGGCCCAGGATATTGATGAGGTCACATTTACTAGTCAGAGAGGTTACTATGACTTAAAAGGGAGCTCTCATGCAACGCACCCCATATTCTTGCATCCATAGCGAGTGGAGAGCAAAGAGGGCTTGTCTCCTAGGAGGTTTTCCCCTATTTTATTCCTGTTTTGATCCTTGGTTAATGAGTAAGCAGGGTGAGGACCTACAGACTTTCTCTCCTTTCTCTTGGCACATTGAACAGGCTGGTCCTAAGACTGAGAACTGAGAAACAGAAAGGCCACAGAAGATGCTCCTTAGGCTTCAAATCTAGATTATATGTTCAAATCTAGATTATATGTTCAAATCCAGCTTTTACTGGAGTTCATTGCACTGGGTTTATTTGGGTTTGCACAGCTACTATAAAGAGGTCGCTGAGTTTCATTATGCTCTTGGAAACTTTGTGTAAAACTCCATCAGAAATCCCATGGAAGGGAGAGACAGTTATAGCACAATTCAAGCTTTCCTCTGTCCCTGGTTTTAATACCATCCGCGTATCACAATGCCCCTCTCACCTTGTCCTGCTTGTATCTGCTACAGTGCCTACCACAATGCCCATCGCATAACAATAAATATGTTTGAAACAACTAAACGAAGAACAAAAGGGTACCATCCCTGGTCCAATCATCAGTCATTCCCTTTTCCTGAACCAATCTCAACCCGGGTCTTCACAAACAGAAGGGTGATGGCCACAGATAGCTGGAACAACTACAGCTCGCATTTACTGAGAGAAGTATGAACACAAGCTTACTTAATCATCACAACCACCTCACAGGGAGCAAACATGACACATGAGCAAGATACAGCTTTAAAAGGTCGAATAACTTGACCAAGGTAATAAAGATGGTACATCAAAGAGTAGGGACTAAAATCAGGTCTTTCTCATTCCAGTCACAGCTCATAATTCTATATTCCCTCTGAGTTCCTAAAGCATTTTCATTTCTGTAATCAAAAGGAAATAAAGATATATGTTGACATTAGAATTACGCGGTAAAGATATTATTATCTAAGATATTACCTAACGACAACAACAACAAAAATGGAAACAAAGGAAAGAAATTTCCGAAAGAAGGGCGAAGAAATTCTTTGTAAAATATTCAAGATTGCAAAGGTACTTGAAACATAAACTGACTACCTTTATTTGTGGCCTGTGGGCTTCTATACTGTTTACTTTGAAGATTCTAAGAAAGACATATGTCATTTATGCAGAGTTATACCCTCCTGACTTTAGATAATCAACATTATTCATTGAAAATTAACTTTACACTGGATTCCCCTAAGGAACTGTTGTCTTTAGCAGGAATTATGTGCTACTGATAATTTTTAATGCACAATATTACAATGGGTATTTCAAATTTCAAGTTCAGGTCTGGACTGTGCTTAGATCCTTAAGGTGTTCTATTGATACTGAGCCATTCTCCTACGTGTAATACACAATGTTTGACCCTGAAAGAACCATGCTCATTTTTGCCTTTGTCTTTATTTCTGAGAAGTACATAGAACACTGTATGCATTCAATCTGTTACTAATAATGATAATGACCTCAACCGATATTTTAGTTGCTAGAATCCAGTCCTTAAGAGCAACAAAGAAGCCAGTCAGCATTCAGATTCTGAAACATTATATTTGCTACGTGACCAAAGGTCAAAGTTGCCTCCATTTTCAGGTGAAGAAGTAAAGACTATTAACTAACATTAGTAATCATTTTCTTCAATATTTCCGAAAAGGTTTCTGCCCACCTCGTCATACTGCTTTGAACATCAGTCTTTGAGAAAATCCAAGTAAAGCGTACTGAAGCACTAAACAGAAAGCTGCACTGCAGGAAGTCCTTCACAGCCATGAGCCGTTCCACACAACAGCCTGTGAGGTAGGACACTTGCTGAGTCATATTTCAGAAATGGAGTCACTGAGGTAAAGAGAAAGGTGTCTTATGATGGGGTCAACACAGCTAAAATACACGGAGGGCCTTCCATGGAACTCCAAAAGCAGAGCTCCCGTTTTGCAGATAAGAATCACTCCATGACAGCAATTATCACAGACGAGAGGGCATTATCTTATTAATGAAAACCCTACTGCAAAAGACACATATGTTAAGCAAAAAATAATAATAAAGTCTCAAATCTATGGGTACTCAAAGAGTTCCAAAGAATCCTTGGTTTATTTTCTTGAAATACACCTCATTTTTATTTTTTAATTTTTTACAATTTCTTTATTTTATTTTATTTATTTTTGGCTGCCTTGGGTCTTTGTTGCTGTGCACGGGCTTCCTCTAGTTGCGGCGAGCAGGGGCTACTCTTCATTGCAGTGAGCGGGCTTCTCATTGCGGTGGCTTCTCTTGTTGCGGAGCACGGGCTCTAGGCACATGGGCTTCAGTAGTTGTGGCATGCAGGCACAGTAGTTGTGGTTCGTGGGCTCTAGAGCACAGGCTCAGTAGTTGTGGCCCAAGGGCTTAGTTGCTCCGCAGCATGTGGGACCTTCCCGGACCAGGGCTCGAACCCGTGTCCCCTGCATTGGCAAGCGGATTCTTAATCACTGTGCCACCAGGGAAGGCCTTACCCCTCATTTTTAATCCCATGAAATTCCCTCTCCTTTATCCTCTTCCTCCACAAAATTTTTATACCACATTAAATGAGCAATGATTTTATTTCACTAAATTTGCTCAGGGCTACATACTGCATACAGGTTTAGGAGGAATTTGATCGATGGACTCGTGAAGAAGAACCAAGCAGAACCAAAAAAACACATGAAATGTTGGGGTTTAAGACCTACATGCAGGGAATTCCCTGGTGGCGCAGTGGTTAAGAATCCGCCTTCCAATGCAGGGGACATGGGTTCGAGCCCTGGTCCAGGAAGATCCCACATGCTGCAGAGCAACTGAGCCCATGCGCCACAACTACCGAGCCTTCATGCCACAACTACTGAAGCCCGTGCTCCACAACAAGGGAAGCCACCGCAATGAGAAGCCCACACACCACAATGAAGAGTAGCCCCTGCTCGCCACAACTAGAGAAAGCCCACACGCAGCAATGAAGACCCAACGCAGCCAAAAATAAATTAATTAATTAAATAAGTTTAAAAAAAAAAAGACCTACATGCAGCACATAAGCACTGGGGGGTATCTGCTTAAGGCATTGTGAAGGAGAACTGAATCTACTCGATAATGTCTCATCAGAGGCACAAATCATATCCTGGGCTTTTTTTAAGAGTGGGGGGAAAAAAGAAAGAGAAGAAAAGAAACAAACAAATGGGTTTCCCTGGTGGCGCAGTGGTTGAGAGTCCGCCTGCCGATGCAGGGGACACGGGTTTGTGTCCCGGTCTGGGAAGATCCCACATGCCGCGGAGCGGCTAGGCCTGTGAGCCATGGCCACTGAGCCTGCGTGTCCAGAGCCTGTGCTCTGCAACGGGAGAGGCCACAACAGTGAGAGGCCAGCGTATCGCAAAACAAAAAGAAACAAACAAATAAACCCATTTAAAATACAACTTAATTCTGGCCTTTCCAATCCTTTCCATTTTGATATTATCAGATAAAAGAGCAGAGAGATAAATAAATTCCTTTCCATCCCCAACACTACCCAATAAGTATGCTTCCTCCTTTAAAGAAGAGTGTGCTTCCCTTGAAAAACACACAGTGGCTCTAACCTAGTTTGTTACTGTCCTAGTAAAAACACATACAAAATGAAACTTCTTAAATTTTGATAATTAAAGAATGTTACACAGAAAAGAACTTCCAAGACCAGCCCAATCACTTCTCTTTAGGTACAAAAACTAAGGCCCAGGGAGGTTAAGATATTTGTTCAAAATCATAGTTAGTTAATGGCAGAGCTAGGATGGAGAAGAACCCAGTCAGAGGGGAGAAACAATGTGACCCCTCTTGCTGCTAAAAGAACGTACCGGTTTCAGTCCTTATTTCTCTCGCACAGCCAGAAAGACAGCTACGTAAGGAAGAGATCACCCTTGGCAGGAACAGAAAGGCACTGGCCTGCGATACAAAAGCCGCTGGTGCCGAGAGTATGCTTTCCTCATTTTCCCCTGATGCCACATCAGGGACATGAGCACCCAGGACTCGTCCTGTCCTCTAGAGCTTACGTCTTTCCACAATAAAGAATATCAAAGCCGTCACACATTGGGTGGCAGCAGGCTTTAGTGTGATCTAGAAGCCACCCCACGCTCACAAGGAAAGAGAACGAGAGACAGTGTTTTCTCCTTGTCTTCCGAGAAGCTCCAGTAGAAGCTCCAGGTAAGACAGCTGAAACTGCTCTGTGACGGGATCAGAAATGACAGGGAATGCTCCCAAACTGGCAGGGCTGCCCTCCACTGCAGGCTGCGCGTCACCCTAAGACAAGACAAATCCGCTTCCACACCACTGGAGTTCCCCAGGGCACTCACCTTCATGCTCACAGCGATCAAAACGCACAGGCTGTCCAGCCTGAACCACAGGACTCTCTGTACTATTCTGCTCAGTGGGATAAGGGAACAAAGGGAACTACTCACCACTCAAAACACACAAGGAAGAGGCACGTCTTCCCAAGACATTCGCTCCAGGGAGGAACGGGGGAGGACGCAGGGCAAGGTGGTGCTAAGAAAGGCGGGAGAGGTGGCTGAAAGTATGGAAGAGGCAGAGATGTGCTATGTTCTTTAGATTTGGGGAGACAGCGGATCAACCCCACGCAGCCTTCACTACTCACTCACATCCCTGGAAACCAACAGATGGCATCCCTCATTGCCAAGTTCTAACGCATTTCATGTTCCTGCTCAGCGTCGGAACACTGGGCTTGCCAAATACCAATAAACACAGCCAGTGAGGTGAGTGTGAGAATCCACAGCTACACCCTCTGCCCTCCTTGCAAGGACTCTTTCCCTGCAGCAAGGAAAACACTCATTCTACAGGAGGTGAATTTCCACACAAGGCGGCAGGGATGTGGGTCCAGACATGTACACTGAAGGTGACCAGTGTTCATACGAAATATTTCTTTTTTACTATAAAAAACAGAGAAGTGACCCCTAGGGGTAACTCATATCTATTACTCAATAGAGCTCACTATGAGTACTGCACCCATTAATTCTCATCCTAGTGGGTTGTCCACAGAGCAGCTATTATATTCAGATATCAAGGCAACCTAGAAAATAGAACTCTGACACTTTTTGATATTAGTCCTTGAATACTAGGGCCCAAAACTCTTGAGTTGAAAAGTTTTGATTCCTATCAACCAGCCACCTTAGTGCTTGGGCTTCTTTCTTGGATTGTTGGAAGCTTGGTATCCACATCTCTCGCAAAGAGCTCCGATGTGGGGCGAGGGGTGAGAAAGCAAACGCTGTAGGCTCTGGACAGCTCAGGTGGGTAATGTCTGCCTTCCATCGTTTGAGTGGTAAGCCCTGCATTGAGAGAAGGGGCGGGTGGGGGGGAGAATTAAAAACATATTATTAAAAAAATAAGATAAGTTAACACAAGTCTCATGTTCCCCGAAGCAAGTACCTTCACTCCATAGAGTCCACAAAGTTACACGCTGAACAGTTGAAGGAGAAAGAATCTAACATTGAGAGTATTCTGTGCACTAGATACTTTGCTAGGCGTGTTACATAGCTTGTCTCATTCAGTCCTTCAATCCATTCAACATAAACAGTCTCGTGCCAAAGTACATTCTTATGGAATTTTATTTATTTATTTTTAATATTTATTTATTTATTTGGCTGCGCCGGTTCTTAGTTGCGGCATACGGGCTCTTAGTTGCGGCATGTGGGATCTAGTTCCCTGACTAGGGATCAAACCCAGGCCCCCTGCATTGAGAACGAGGAGTCTTGGCCGCTGGGCCACCAGGGAAGTCCCATTTATGGAATTTTAGAACACAGGGAAAAAGGAAGAGATTCTACAACATTCCTAAGAGGAAAAGACCAATTCTGAGGGTCAGAAGTTAGGATGGTTTTGGATTTCTGGACAGGAACACTGGAAGTTAAAAAGCAGTGGTGAAATTCATTGATGAATATTAACATTAGTTAGTTCAACTTTAAGGAGAAGAAGGGTATTTGCATAGCCTCAAAATACCTCCCCCCCCAGATATTTATTAATTATTGTGGTGGTTTTTTTTTTTTTTTTTTATTGTGGTGGTTTTAACATATGTCCACAAATTATTTTATATTCCTCCCTCAAGGAGGTGAAGCTTAATTCTCCTCCCTTTGAGGGTGGGCTGGACTTAGTGACTCGCTTCGTGGAAAGAGAAAATTAGCAACTTCACAGAGGAAAAATCTAGCAGACACCACCTTAACCAAGTGATCAAAGTTAGCATCACCAGTAACATGTCATGTTGATATCATTTATCCTCTGAAATGATACGATGAGAAGACCTTTTTCACCCCTGTGGTATTATTCTCCCAAATCCAAAACCCAAGTCTTAACATGAGAAAACATCAGAGAAACCCTACGGAGGGACATTCTACAAAGTATTGACCAGTCCTCTTCAAAAATGTCAAAGTTATTAAAAATAAGGAAAGACTGCACAACTGTCACAGACTTAAAGAGTCTAAGGCGACATGAGGAGTGATTACAGTCTGGTATCCTGGATCTGATCCTGGAACAGACAAAGGATATGAGTGGAGAAGCTGGTGAAATAGGACTGAAGTCTGTAGTTCAGTTCCTAGTAGTACTAACAGTCAATATTAGTTTCTCAGTGTTGACAAATGTGCCATGGTTATGTAAAATGTTAACATTAGAGGAAGCCAGGTGAAGAGAATTCAGGAACTTTGTACTATCTTTGTAACTCTTCTGTCAATCTAAAATCATTTCAAAATTTAAAGTTTTTTTTAAGCCAATAACAAAATGCCTTCAAAATTCTGAGAAAAACTGATGACCACTGTAATAGTTTACATTCAGCTAAACTATAGCTTAAATATTAAAATAAAATGAAGACATTTCAGGCAACCCCCATACACCAGGAAGCTATATGAGGATACAATCAACCCACAAAAGAGGGAAAGCTAAGAAAAAAGGAAGAAAACATACAGGAAACAGAAGTGTCAACACAACAGAAAAAGACAAGGAGATTCCCAAAATGCTGGGGAAGGGAGATCTCAGGCTGATGTTCTACACAGTGTAGAGGGCAGCCAGACGTATTGATGTATGTCAGAAGGCTCCGGGAGAGATTTACTCAGCAAGATGAAATAAACTGGATGCCTGGTATAGCTGAATGTCTTCAAAGGAGATTTAAACAATCAACAAGGATTGAATTAGTGATTAAAATTTTAAAATAAACAAGTAAGAAATAAGACAAGTATTAACTAGAAGGAAACCAAAAGCTGTACAAAGGGAAACAAATCATAGTATACTACATTGCTCGTATCTATCATCAGAGAAACACTGAATATCAAAAAATTAGTGTATAAGAGCATGTTATTTAGAAACATTGAGTAATAACCAAAATAATTAGCTAACTATGGTGATTAGTGGCTGCTTCTAGGGAAGGAGAAAAGGGAAAAGAAGTAGAAGACTTTTTTTTAAAACTAACTTTGCAGAACTATTTGATACTTTAACCTATGCACATGTACATCTTTTTCAAAAAAAAATTTTTTTTTAATGTGAAGATAGTAGGGTTTCGGGGGTGGAGTCAAGATTGCAGACTAGGAGGATGCGGAATTCACATCCTCGCACAACCAGGGCACCTACCAGGCATCAGTGGGCGACCACGGACACCTAAGGGGACGGGAGGAACCCCCAGCGACCGGGTAGTACATGGAATGTTGGGGGGAATGAGGGGGGAGGAGAAGTGGAGGCGGGACGGGACTGGAGCCCCTGAGGGGTGGCTGGGGGAGGGGAAGGGATCCGACACTGAAGGGGTAAATTGGGGGACCATTGGGAGGGCGGAGGATCAGAAGGGAGCATGGACAGGTCTCCCCTGCCCACTTGGGCCCCCGGGAGCCTGCTGAGATCCTGGGCCTGATCTTCTGCCCACTGAGGCCTCCTCCAGCCGCATGGGTCCTGAGGGAGTGGGAGGGAGGGAAAGGGGAGCAAAAGTAAAGGCCAGACCTCAGGGACCTGGCACCCCTGGGGGGTGGCTGGGGGAGGGGAGGAGTTCCTACACCCAGCGGGATCCACCCACAGTTAGGGGTCCAGTGGGGACAGGGGAGATGCTGGCGGAGACCCCTGAGGTGTGGCGTGGAGGAACAGAAGGGAACGTGGCCAGCGCTTTCCCTGTCCACTTAGGCACCGGGGAGCCTCTTGGGCTACCGGGCCTAATTCTCTGCCCGCACAGCCTTCCTGCTGCCTGCAGAGCCCAAGCCCCCCCCACCCCCCACCCCCGCCACCCAGGGCCTTAACTCCGAACTCCGGAACTCCACACTTCCGAGGTCCCGCTTTGGATCTGCTGCGTCTCCCCTTCCGCACAGGTCCTAGGCAGGGGCCCCACCCTATGCTTGAACGTTGCCCCGCCCAGGCTCAAATGTCACCACCCCAGACTAGGTCCCGCCCCTACCTAACTTCCACCCCTGCCTAAACTCCACCCCCCATAGCCAAGGCTTTTTTTTTCTTTTTTCCTCTTTTAGATTGGGGTTCTGTTTTACCTTGCTGTTGATTCATTTATATTTTTATGTTTTCTAATAAATCTTTTATTTTTCTAATTTTATTTTATTCTTTATACTTTGTTATCGTTCTGCTCCTTTAGGCTTGTTCCCCCCCCCTTTTTTCTTTTTTCTGTTGTGGTTTTGTTTTACCTTGTTGCAGTTGTTTAAATTATATTCTTATTATTCCTAATATATTTTTTATCTTTTAAATTTTATTTTGTTTTTTATTCTTTGTAAATTATACTGCTTTTGACTGTGCCATGCAGCTTGCAAGATCTTGGTTCCCATGCTGGAGGTCAGGCCCGAGCTCCTGTGGTAGGAGCTCTGAGTCCAAACCACTGGACTAACAGAGAACCTCAGACCCCAGGGAATATTAATCAGAGTGAGGCCTCCCGGAGGTGCTCATATCAGCACCAAGACCTGGCTCTATCCAACTGCCTGCAAACTCCAGTGCTGGACGCCTCAGGCCAAACAACCAGCAAGACAGGAATACAGCCCCATCCATAAAAAAAAAAAAAAAAAAAAAGATACAACAAAAAAATATGTTACAGACGAAGAAGCAAGGTAAAAACCTAAAAGACCAAATAAATGAAGACGAAATAGGCCACCTACCTGAAAAAGAAATCAGAGTAATGATAGTAAAGATGATCCAAAATCTCAGAAACAGAATGGAGAAAATACAAGAAACATTTCACAAGGATCTAGAAGAACTAAAGAGCAAACAAACAGTGATGAACAACCCAATAACTGAAATTAAAAACACTCTAGAGGAATCAATAACAGGATAAATGAGGCAGAAGAACGGATAAGTGAGCTGGAAGATAAAAAGGTGGAAATAACTGCCAAGGAGCAGAATAAAGAAAAAAGAATGAAAAGAATTGAAGACAGTCTCAGAGAGCTCTGGGACAACACTAAAATGCACCAACATTCGAATTATAGGGGTCCCTGAAGAAGAAGAGAAAAAGAAAGTGTCTGAGAAAATATTTGAAGAGATTACAGTTGAAAACGTACTGTTTAAAGAAATTAAAGAAGACCTAAATAAATGAACAGATATATCATGCTTATTGATTAAATGTCTCTATATTGTTGTCAATTCTCCCCAAATTGACATATGGATTCAACAAAATCCCAATGAAAATCCCATCAAGCATTTCTGTAGAAACTGATAAAATGAATCTAAAATTTATGTGGAAAAGCAAAAGACCGAAAATAGTGAAAATAATTTTGAAAAAGAACAAAGTTGGAAGATTAACACTACCTCATTTCAAGACTTATTATAAAGCAACAGTACTCAAATATAGATATACTGATCAGCACAGAAACTGACCCATGCATATATGGCCAATTGATTTTTTTAAAAAGAAGCCAAGGTAATTCAATCAGGAAAGAATAATCTTTCCAGAAAATGAGGCTGATACAACTGGATATCCAAATAAACAGACCTCAACTCTTACATTATACCACAACACAAAAATTAACTCTAAGTGGATCACAGACCTAAATGTAAAAGTTAAAACAACAAAACTTCTAGAAGAAACAGAAGCAAATCTTAGAGACCCTGGGTTAGACAAAGATTTTTTTAAACAAGCTACAAAAAGCACAAGCTATAAAAGAAAAAATTTATGAGCTGGACTCATCAAAATTAAAAACTCTACATTTCTGTAGACACTATTAAAAAAATGAAAAGACAACCCACAGACTGGAAGAAAACATTTGTTAATTTTATAATTGACAAATGACTTGTGTTCACAGTATATAAAGAATTCTTACAAGTCAAGAATAACAAGTCAAACAACCCAGTTTTTAAAAAATGAGTAAAAGACTTAAAGAGATATATCACAAAAGAAGATATTGACAGCAAATAAGCCATTAAAAGATATTCAACATCATTAGTTATTAAGAAAATGTAAATTAAACCACAGTGAGATACACTATACACCCAATAGAAAGGCAAAAATTAGAAGAATGACCACACACCAACTGTTAATGAATGAACTCTCATACAATGCTGGCAGGAATGTAAGATGGAGAAACTCTAGAAGATAAATTAGTCGTTTCTCAAAATGTTAAACGTACATCTACCATATGACCTAGCCAATCCACTCGTAGGTATTTACGGAAGAGAAGTGAAAGCATATATCCATACAAAGATCTGTACGTGAATGTTCACAGCAGCTTTATTTGTAACAGCCAAAAACTGGAAACAGGCGTGTGGATAAGCAAATTTTGGTATATCCAAACTTCAGCAATATAGAGAAATGGACTCTTGATACACACAGAATTGTGGATAAACGTCAACATTATCATGCAGGATGAAAGAAGCCAGACCCAAAAGAATACACACTACATGATTCCATTTATACAAAATTCTAGAAAACTGCCTTGGCTTCTTTGTCAAAAGTGACAAAAAGCAGATGAGTGGTTGCCTGAAGAAGCGGGTGGAAAAGGGATAGATTACAAACAGACATGAGGAAACGTTTAGGGGAGAATAGAAATGTCTGTCATCTTGACTGAAGTGATGGTTTCACAGGCGTTTGCACATGTAATAACTAATCCAACTGTAAACTTTAAATATACGCAGTTTATTGTACATCAATTATACCTCAGTAAAGCTAATTGTTTTAAGTTTATCCCAATTCTGTAAAGTTATATTCCTGGTTACTCCATGTTGTCTCCCCTATTATAGCCTCTTTGAGGACAGGATAATGTATCAATAAATGTTCTTTAACTAACATTAACTCCTGGGTTGGTCTCTTCAATACTGAAAGACTTTCCCCTACATAAATCAAGCAAACGACACCGAGAATAAGCCCACTCAGATTCGCTAGGTGTGAGGAACAGATTCAAGATGGCCCCATGATATCCACACCTCCTGGTATTCATGCCCTTATGTTATCCCCTCCCCTCGACTGTGGGTGTTGTCACTTGCCTCTAGCCAATAGAATATGACAAAGGTGAGAGGATGTATGTGATTACATGTATGTGGTTACACTCATGAGACTGTAGTACTGGTCTTGGCATCTCCCCCTCCCTTGCTGGCTTTAAGGAAGCAAGCAGCCATGTGGGGGAAGCACAGGACAGGGAACTGTGGGTGGCCTCTAGGAGCTGAGGGCAACCTACAGCCTACAGCCAGCAGGAAACTGAAGCCCTCAGTCCTACAACCTCAAGAAACTAAATCTGCCAACAAGCATGTGAGTTTGAAAGCAGACCTGTCCCCAGTTAAGCCTCTAGATGAGAACCCAGCCCTGACTGACACTTTGATTGCAGCCTTCCAGAGAACCCAGGTAAGCCATGACCAGAATCCTAACCCACAGAGACTGTGAAATAACAAAAGTTTGTTGTTTTAAGCCGCTAAGTTTGTGGCACTACTGTTTAAACAGCAGTAGATAACTAATATACTAGGTTTGTACGTTTATGACAGGAGGAAGCAGAATAGAGGAAGGGGAAATGCATTGAATATTCTAATAGTGTTTTGTACATCTAAATACCATGATTTAAACTACTATCAATTGTAAGATAAAAAATAATCGAGTTGAGGAGATCAAATTATTTCTTTCAGCTTTTATTTGTCTGAAAGAGAAACATTTACATAGCTTACTTTAAGGCATACCATATATATAAGCTGTAACAAATCTTATAAACACAAATGAAAACAGCTGGCCTAATACCCTTTAATTTACGTTCATGGTATGTTTTGTTCTGCTTTTCAATAATGAGCACATTTGTGTTTGAGAATTGTACCAAGTTCTCTGAAATGCAAGCAAAGCCTTCCAGTCACCTCCACTGACCACCTCTCTGGGAGGAATGAGAGCATGCTGGAGGACAGCTTACTCTGTTTCTCCTCAAAGACTCCAGAGAGAAGGGCATTCAACTACACCACCTTCCGGCACTCTGAAATACCACAACCAGAGAGCTGGTTCCGTGGGAAATGCACGAATGTATGTATCCTCCTATATCTTTGAAAAAGCTATTCCCCAATGTCACTATACCCTCTTTTCCAGTCCCCAGTAATCACCCCAACAGGGTTTCTGTGAGATGCAGGAGCAGTTAGGGTTTGTGTGCTTCTTTCAGTTTTCTGTGAATATAATCTCCAACATGGAAAAGGATCGTGAAAATGAGCCCAGGCAAACCTTCATCCTCAGAAGTTGTTTTCTGCCTTGATATATTTTCAGAGTCAATCATTGGTATAGTGTGGGCAATTAATGTGGTCTCTACTTTCTCATGTGTTTTTTGCAGTGGCATGTGTGTGTGTGTGTGTGTGTGTCTTTTGGTTTTTGCTGTAAGGTGGCCCTATAAATTAGGTCATAAAGGAAGTCACTGGAAATCAGGATGCATTCCCTGAGAAGAATGATGTAATATTTAGTGTTCCTGTTGCTGACCAAGACGCTCAGCTTAAAATAAAGATTTTATGAATAAAACTTTGTTATAAGAAACCAGATAAAATAATTTAAATTCTCATCATTATTAAAATTAGGAAAATAATGTTTCACATATTTTAAATTTGTCTAAGCATATACATATTTAGCGCACGAAAGCCTCATACAGTATGTATTCAATACATTAAAATAATTCCACACACTATTTAGGTTTATGTTTGGCCTGAAATTTCTATGCTAGCTAAAATAAACATTTAAATATTTAACAATTGTCTGCCTTCAGAGAATTTAGATAAAATGTTATGTGTATATGGGAGTCAAGGAAATGATGGGTGACTGCCAAGTAGGGCCATCTCATTTTTTTTTAGATTTCAAAGATAGTTGAAAGTAATCTTTTTCTTTCAACAAGTTTCATTTTAATGAATTCGCTTCTCTATAAAGTGGAACCATTCCTGTCATAAATAATAAAGTAAGCAAATAAACATTAAGAGCATCTAGAGGGCTTCCCTGGCGGTGCAGTGGTTAAGAAACCGCCTGCCAATGCAGGGGACACGGATTCAAGCCCTGGTCCGGGAAGATCCCACATGCCGCGGAGCAACTAAGCCCGTGCGCCACAACTACCAAGCCTGCACTCTAGAGCTTGCGAGCCACAACTACTGAGCCCACGTGCCACAACTACTGAGCCCACGTGTCTAGAGCCCGTGCTCCGCAACAAGAGAAGCCGCCACAATGAGAAGCCCACACACCGCCATGAAGAGTAGCTCCTGCTCCCTGCAGCTAGAGGAAGCCCGTGTGCAGCAACGAAGACCCAATGTAGCCAAAAAATAAAAATAAATTAATTAATTTTAAAAAAAGAGCATCTAGAATTTGAAGATGTTACTAAGAACTTTAATTTTAATAATTTAAGAAAAAGAAGTCTTTTAAGGGTTATCTCCAACATTATTTGAATATTCTCTTTATATTAATAAGCATGTGTGTGTACCACACACAGAAAGAGCAACAATCAGGGAGTGACAGGAAGTGAGAGCGAGAGAGACAGAAAGAGACAGAGAGAGAGAGGTTAATTGAGTGTGTATATGAAATGAAAATAAGTTTCAAAATGTCAGTCCATGGGGCATGAGCATAAGGGGTCCGGCATAAACCACAGCCTTGATGGAGAGGTTAAGGGACTGACCATGTGGATGAGATTCAGAACTTTCCATATTTTAAATTTTTTGGCCTTCTCCTTCCCCTGCAGCTTCCTTGTATTACTGCCCAGCACCTGCAGTATATTATCCTCCAGAAGAAACAATAAAGGAGAATTTAAGGCCTTCAGGAAGAGGGACAGGACTGGTAAACTTCATGACAGTCCTCAAAGAATAGAAATGAAATAGTCATCCTTGCCTCAGAGCCTGGCCTCTCTGATAGAAGTGAGGACCAGTGATGGGGCAGCTGCAACAGAATAATGCAGAGCAGCAGAGAACATCAAGACGGCCATCCCAGCACCTCTCTGCCAAACCTGGATTTGCTTACCTTTTCCTGGAGCCTAATGTTATCCCACACCTTGGTGCACACCATACACTCAAATGCGTCGATGTAGTTGTCCTGCTTGATGTCCTGCACCCCCCATTTCCGTTCCCTGAGAGCAGTGAGAAGTCGCTGATTCGAGATCTCACCCTTCAGCTTCCATTCTATGTAGGCCTGGTACAGTCTGTCGTCGTGATCCAGCTGTCTGATGTAACTTGCCAGTTCTCTAGGGTGAGAAAATTCTGATACCAGGATAGCACTTCTATTACTTGGAAGCCAGTCTGCGATGCTGGGTGATCCGTAATACACAGGGACGACCCCCAGTTTCAGAGGTCTCCAGAACTTCTCAGTGATGTAGTCATCGCAAACCGCGTTCTCGAAAGCAAGGATAAACTTATACTGGGCAAGGATCCTATAAAAGTCACCAGCGTCCATAGAGGCTGGACCGTTCAATTGCTGAGGGAGAGCTTTGTTTCGCAAACACTCGCCGTAAGAATCGACCTCGATGTACGTCATCAGCTCTCGAACGTAGCTGTCTCTGTCTGAGGGTGGGTCACAGTCGGACTGTACGTACACCAGAGGAGCGAGGCTTTTCCGAAGGTGGTTTTTGGACTGCAAGGGGACCAGGTATCGGAGTGACTTCAGGACTTCTGTGCCCTCCAGGTACTGGGTAGTTAGTGGCAGGTGGGAATGCCGGCTGAAGGTGGCCGTGTAGTTGAACAAGGTGATGACTGGCTGGTGAAAGAGCTTATAATTGTTTTTCGGAGACTCTTCGTGAAAAAGGGCCCAGTCGTGATGGGCTTTCCGAGGCAGAGGTAAGCTATCTATGTTAAAGTCAGTACCTAGGAGAAGAAAAGACAATGTAGTGTGTCCAAAGAACTCTGGGGTTTAAGTTTGAGTCCACCTGGTAAGATTAGTATACAGAGGAGTTTGAGGCTATAAATAAGTAGCATATTACGGTGTCTGCAAAATGCCTGGCAGTCAGTCATGAAGCTTTCACCCTAGAAACTGCTCAGGGAGAGAATCATCAAGGAAAGGGACCCCCTCTCTCATTTTATGAAAAGGGAAATGGGAGAAGTGTCTATCCTGATTCTAAAGAATTTATTCCACTGCCTCCTGGCTTTTCTTCCAGAGGCATTGCCTAAGAGAGGGAAGGAGAAATGAAGAGATAGAGAGTTCTTAAAAAAGAAAAAGCGGGCTTCCCTGGTGGTGCAGTGGTTGAGAGTCCGCCTGCCGATACAGGGGACATGGGTTCGTGCCCCGGTCCGGGAAGATCCCACATGCGGCGGAGCGGCTAGGCCCATGAGCCATGCCGCGGAGCCTGCACGTCCGGAGCCTGTGCTCCGCAACGGGAGAGGCCACAACAGTGAGAGGCAGGCGTACCGCAAAAAAAAAAAAAAAAAAAGAGAGAAAGGAAGCCAAAAAGGGAAAAGCAACCAGCTTGGCAGATTGATTAACTGAAAAAAAGTGAAATCATGCAAAAGTAGCCAGAACAAATATACAGGAAAATAATATTTTTTCAAATCCAAAATGATCAATTTCAACAAAGCGCAGCAAATCAACCTTAGTAAAAATGGTAGACAAGAGGCTTTTAAGGACTTAAGAGCTGATAATAGCACTGTGTTACAGACTGCTACAGGATGGCCATGAATTAACAAGCACATCGAGAAATAAAGGAGGCATAACAGGATTATAGTTATGAGTGATTCTAGCTTCCACAAGATTAATTGGGGAAATCTCTGAAACATGATAATGTGCAGACAGAAATGATGGATATGGTAAGCCATTGTTTCCTGACTGTGTGCGTGGAGACCCAATCAGGAAAAAGTTATTTCTATAACTGAGAAAGAAGAATTAAGACAATTATCACAGTACGTAATACAGAATTTCTAAGGTGTTCCAGACACTGATGATTTTTTGGCCCTCTGATTTGATTTTTTAAATATAAGAAAATGGCACACACACAAAAATCCATCTTCTAGCATCCACTGGGGAAAAACACACCAAATAAATTCTTCCAGCATAATAAAACATATTCTCTGGTAGGATTCATAAAGATTAATTATTTAATGCCAGTGCACACTCTCTCTAATAAATATATACTCTTTAATGCCAACAGTACATCAGTGAGGAATCAGTTAATCAAGAAAGATTTGGAGAACAGTATGGAGGTTCCTTAAAAAACGAAAAATAGACCTACCATATGACCCAGCAATCCCACTACTGGGCATATACCCTGAGAAAACCACAATTCAAAAAGAGTCATGTGGGCTTCCCTGGTGGCGCAGTGGTTGAGAGTTCGCCTGCCGATGCAGGGGACATGGGTTCGTGCCCCGGTCCGGGAAGATCCCACATGCCGTGAAGCGGCTGGGCCCGTGAGCCATGGCCGCTGAGCCTGCGCGTCCGGAGCCTGTGCTCCGCAACGGGAGAGGCCACGAAAGTGAGAGGCCCACGTACTGCCAAAAAAAAAAAAAAAAAAAAAGAGTCATGTACCACAATGTTCACTGCAGCTCTATTTACAATAGCCAGGACATGGAAGCAACCTGAGTGCCCATCATCGGATGAATGGATAAAGAAGATGTGGCACATATATACAATGGAGTATTACTCAGCAAAGAAATGAAATTGAGATATTTGTAGTGAGGTGGATGGACCTAGAGTCTGTCATACAGAGTGAAGTAAGTCAGAAAGAGAAAAATAAATACCGTATGCTAACACATATATATGGAATCTAAGAATAATAATAAAAAAAAAGGTCATGAAGAACCTAGGGGTAAGACGGGAATAAAGACACAGACCTACTAGAGAATGGACTTGAGGATACGGGGAGGGGGAAGAGTAAGCTGGGACGAAGTGAGAGAGTGGCAGGACAAATATACACTACCAAACGTAAAACTGATAGCTAGTGAGAAGCAGCCACATAGCACAGGGAGATCAGCTCGGTGCTTTGTGACCACCTAGAGGGGTGGGATAGGGAGGGTGGGAGGGAGGGAGACGGAAGAGGGAGGAGATATGGGAACATATGTATATGTATAACTGATTCACTTTGTTATAAAGCAGAAACTAACACACCATTGTAAAGCAATCATACTCCAATAAAGATGTTAAAAAGAAACCAAATAAAATTATGCTGGAAGACATATACTGAGCCCATAGAAACTGCTGAAGAAAGTACATACTACTGTCTTGATAACAGGCTTTCATTTCTCAGTGATCAGGAATGAAAGACTAACATCTAAAAATGGTCACATATTTGTTTGCTTGGCATTTGCTACATTGGACCTTTAGCATCAAAAAAGAATTTCATCCACACACCTGAAATGTAATGGCATGCAGAGCTGGATGGTCAGTAATGGTTAATAGCCAAACATGAAGACATGAAAGAGAACTTGAGAGGAAAAGCAATTTATCACATTGAACTAGCTGCTGCTCATAAAGGTTCTAGGCTGGTCAAGTGGCCAACAATGGGAACTGAACCCATAAATTTGAGTTAGAACATAAAGCTTCCACCAAAGGCAGAGCAGAGAATCAAGGCCATCTGCCTGGGACAGGAAGAACCAGAGTCCAACCCATAGGAGTCAGAGGCAGGGATCCAGGTGTAAGATTAGAGACTGCAGGGAATACGGTTAAAACTAATGTGGGTCTAGAATTAACAGGGGGATCCAGCACAGGTGCCTTGAGACGGCCACACAAGTGGCTGTCTGCCGCTGTTATCTGGCACATGGGTGATTCTTAAGCTGCCTTACCCTGTGGTTGCCACGGCAAAGATCCAAAATGCAGAGCAGAAAGACACAAAGCCTACCTCCAGTGCTTCAGAGAATGGAGAGGGCCTGCCTTTCATCAGTGTTTGGCTACATCAGTGAAGTATTATAAGAGGAACTAAAAATGGCTGTCGAGACCTTTTCAGGGCCAATATCTAGGTCTGTGTGTTGGTAATAGGAATGAGACTTGAAACTGGTACCAGTTATAATGAGCTTTTCATTCATTGTAACTAGAGGCGAGGCTTCCAGGCTCTTTCAGCCAAGTTACTCCTGGAACTTTGATGTTGGGAAGAAGGAGAGAAGAGCATAAGGTCCCTCAAATGTGCAATCTGTAGTAGAAAAAAAAGCCTGCAGAATCTAAGCAAGAAACATTTATTTATGTTTGTGCCCTAAAAACAAACACAGTTTTTTTAAAAATGAGAGCTTGAGGTTCTCATACATCTGAATTCTTTTTCGTTTGTAGGAGTGGGACTATCTTTAATAGTGGGGGAATGCCTCTTTAATAGAGAGGAAAGTTTAAGGGACCTAACTTTCCAGAAACACTTCCCATTATTTGCTACTTTAAAAAGTATTTCCTAGTTACTTCCCTAAGACACACACACACACACACACACACACACACACACACACACACACACACACGATCACATTAAAACAGGTTTTTCTTCCAAACTAAAATTCCCTGAGGAAGATTAAAAAACGTATGTCATTTTGCCCAGCAAGCTCCTCTCCTAAACTTAGAGCTTCAGATGGTAAACACTTCAGAATTCTAAAATTAGAACCATAACAGACCTAAAATACTTCTTTGAGGATATCACGACCTAGAATGTGATTGGTGATATTGAGCAGTTTCTGAAAGGTATCAGATGTGGCTCAGGAACCAGCTGAGTTATCTAGCTCTGACTCCAGGGCAATGCCCACTATAACAAGAGTTGGAACTGGGGTCTTTAACGAAATGAAAATCAGTTAAACTATGATAAATCCATAAAAATGTGACTAACTTGCGTATGATTGGTTCAGTAGTTTTATACAGCCATCTTCACTGGCTCTTACATTTAACAACTTCAGGTTTAAACTTTCGTTTCTCTGGGTTATTTTGTGTTTACTGAATACTGACAAATTCATTCGTTCCTTTAACAGCTGACAGAGAGATCTTAAGCACTAATGTGCACTGTAAAGGGAATTGCAACTTGGAGCACAAATGGAATAAAATTAATGCTGGCGAACGATGTCAGATTGCTGACGATGGGGACTGAATCTGAAATGGCAGAGAAGCAGAGGAGTGACCATCCTTTATGATATGTTTATGTGCTCCCTTTCTTCTGCAGGGGCATATACTCTTCTTTTATGGTTCCCACACAAACTGGCAGAAGCAGAAGGCAACACATACTATTAACCCCACTCTATGAAGAAAATTGAGTTTGAGTCATGTACCTGGAGTTAAAGATCCCTGGTGGGGGCCAGAGTTTTCAGACTGGCTAATGGTAAAGGACCAGAGAGATCACTGGCCCCACTACAATGCTGATTCTGTTGAATAACTTACTCTTGGCACTCCCAAGACACTCACGGAAATATTACCCAGCTTAAACCCACACCACTTGGGAAGAGGCACAGAAAAAAGAAATGCTCCCACACAACGTCCCCCAGAGGTCACCTGTTTCTAAAAAGAACCTCTACTGTAAAATGGTGTTTTCCCATAAAATGTGATCCCACAAAAATACCCCGGTAGAGGAATCTAAAACTTTGGAGGAAAAACAATCTAGGCCAAGGGGCTGCCTCATGATATTATCATTTGCATAATTCATTGCTACTTTTAAAGCCATTTCACGTGACTTTTCTTAACCAACCCACACAGCCCCATCAGGTCATCTATTTTCTCTAAGGTTCTGAGGGTTAACTAAAAATGCCACACAGGCACCTCTGCAGACAGCCTGGCTCTAGCCAATTCAGAGGGGCTTTGGCAGGAGTCCTAACTTCTAGACCCATATTCTTCCCTCTTCTCCCATCTTCTCTGTTCATGAGTCCTTTTACTTGCCGCTTAATCAATTCTGCGTCATGTAGTCCTCTCTCAAGTATACGTG